TTCAAGGGGTTCCCATACATGAAATTTGTTTCTTTATACCAAAGTTATTTATTAATTCTCGTTTTCCCTTTTAACTTCAGTGTCTCTTAAGAAATGATTAATTTATACTCTTTTGATTGTTGAATCACAGTTTATCTAGCAATATAAAATATTTACATTTTTTGATGTTACTATGAAAAGGTGGAAGACCCCAGGTAAGATGGATTGGCACCCTGGCAGCATCAATGGGCTCAGTCAGGCATAGCAACAATTGTGAGGTTGGTGCAGGACTGGGCAGTATTTCATTCTGTTGTATATTGGGTCACTATGAGTTTAAAAAACAAAACAAAACATGAACATGGGCAGACTGGAACACACCATCAATTGCTCATATGCAAGTTCAGGCTGAAGCTGAAGAAAATAAAAACAAGTCCACAAGAGTCAGTAAAGGACCGTGAACACATCCTACCTGAATTTAGAAATAATCTCAAGAACAGATTTGATGAATTAGACACTAATGACCGAAGACCAGGAGAGTTGTTGCATGACATCAAGAACATCATACATGGAGGAAGCAAAAGGTCATTAATTACACAAGAAAGAAGGGAATGAGCAAATTGTATGTCAGAAGAGGTTCTGAAACTTGCTATCCAGTGTAGAGGTGCTAAAGCAAATGGAAGAAATGAGGTAAAAGAGCTGAATAGAAAATTTTGAAGAGCACCTTGAGAAGACCATGTCAAGTATTACAACGAAATGTTCAAGACCTGGAGTTAGAAAACCAATGCTTAACATTTCTCAAGCTGAGGGAACTGAAGAAAAATTCAAGCTTCGAATTTCAATGTTGAAGGATTCTATTGACAAAATATTGAATGATACAGAAAATATCGAAAGAAGATGGGAAAAATCAAAAACAGTAATGGCAGCCTGATTGACTACTACGAGAACATGCACATTGTTCACCAGGGAGCTATCAAGGCAAGCAATCAAGTCCCCTCCGGGCAAACCCCCTTCTAAGACGGAAACTCAAAGGGAATACATGATGAGCAGGCATGTACTCTTGCTGGTGACTACGTTGGTCTGCCCATAAGGGGAAGTGGGGGAAAAACAGCAATGAAGCTGTTAGCTAAGTCCGACCACATTCAATTGACTCATGTCAACCTGGATCCGTGACCTGGGTAGCCAGCAGTATAGCAAGACCTGGGGTCTCCTGAGCCCATGAACAGGGACATAGTCACGGAGGACTAGAGCAGAGTGAAGCACCCAGCTGAGGTGAAGTGAAGGGAGATGCACAAGAATGCCCATAGTTGCAGATAGTACTCATTTGACCTAGCATCAATGGCTGGCTGATCCGAACTCTACTAGAGGAAGAAAGAGTGTAATCTGTTACAATTTTATGAACTTGACCTATAGTTATGGATGTAGTAGCTTAAAAGAGGGAATGAATCTCCCAAAAAGAATTAGACTCTCAGAAACCCTACATAGGATCGCTATGAGTCTAAATTATTAATTCAATGGCAGTGAGTTATGGTTAGCAGGTATACACTGGGGTGCCTGTCAGTATATTTTGCCTTTGAAATAAACATGAAAGAAAAAAACACTCCTGCTGGGCTTGTTGGCAACATTTTTCTCTTGTAATACTTATGCTGTTACACTAGATACCTTAAGAATTGATTCTTTAAGAATACGTATCGTTTAACTCCATAGAAGTATTGCATACAATGGATTATTTTTAAATTCTATTCTCTTATTCATTTAGCAAAAATATCGGGCCTCTACTGTTTGCAAGGCACTATGCTAAGTGTTGGAGTCCTGCTGTGTGTTAATGTGCTGGAGTGTAAGGTGGGTTTGAACTGTAAGGGCAGCGGTTCAAGCTCATCAGCCACTCCTTAGAAACCCTACACAGGGTCGCTATGAGTTGGAACCGACTCAACAGCACTTAACAATAATATGCTAAGTGTTAAACATTTTTAAAATATGCTTATCCTCAGGAAATTTATAATCTTTTATTTCATGGAAAATTTATTAAAATGAAAAAGGTTTTACACAATAAAATCAGTACTATAATGAAGGACCCTAGATGAAAGTGTACCAGAATCTTTCTAGGCTTTCCTTGAAAAAATTTCATACTTAGCTATCTGATTGATCATGACCATGTACAGCATCAACAGATCAAAGCATTCGGAATTTACTCCTTGTAATTATTCTATATAAACATGCTCTAGATCAATTTAGTCTTGTTTTATTTTTACTGTCCAAGTTAAGGACTAACTTGGAAAGAAATTTCTCTTAATCCTGAAAAACAAAATAAGTCAGTGTTTTTTTCCTTAACTTTTTATTATAAAGTGAGTGAAGGTTTACAGAGCAAATCATCAGTTTTACATTCAGTTAATCATATGCTTTGCTTCATTGCCATCCCCTCCATGTATCAACAGTTAATAGCATTTACCTTTATTCACTTAACAGGTGCATCCCTCCCTGTGTCTCTAGTGCTGACCTGCCTCTTGTGCCTGCCTTTTCACCCATGTTAACATGTTATACATTACCTTCTAGCCCAAGGATAATTTTCCCTCCCCCTTCCTCTCTATAACCATCATATAGTGTTTCTTTTCTTAACTTTTTATAATATTATAAACATCAATACAGTATTGTTTGTCCTTTTGTGGTTGACTAATTTCAGGTAGCATAATGTCCTACAGGGTCATCCATGTTGTGAAATGTTTCAAAGATTCATCAATTATTCTTTAATGTTTCATAGCATTCCATTCTGTGCACATGTGGTTGTGTGTTGTGGAGTCGATTCCGACTCATAACTACCCTGTACAGGGTTTCCGAGGCTGTAAATCTTTACAGGAGCAGAAAGCCTTATCTTTCTCCTGCAGAACAGCTGACCTTGCGGTTCACAGCCTGATTTGTAACCACTACGTTACCAGAGTTCCTTATGAAAGTTTATTTAACCATTCTTCTATTGATGCTCATTTCGGTTGTCTCTATCTTTTTGATGTATCTCTTGTAGACAACTTATTGAAGGATCCTGTTTTCATATTCTGCTCTCTGTGTCTCTTGACTGCATTTAAACAATTTACATTCAGTATAATTCTTGGTAGGTATGAATTCATTGCTGTCCTTTTAATTTGTGTGCGTTTCAGTTGTCCTCCTGGGTTCTTTGTTCCCACATAATTTTCTGCACTGAGTTCATTATGTTTGTGGGTTCTCTTTTAATTTTCATTTTAGCTGTATTAATGTTTATGGATTCTTTCACATTTTCCTCTTTTTTTATTTTGGTGTATATGTGTATTCGTTTTTGTTTTGTTTTTTGAGGTTACCCTGTAGTTATTTTTTCCCTGTTTAAAACCATCTGTTTTATCTTGATAACTACTTGATTTTCTCGCTGTTCAGAAGTTATGTATCGATACTGTTCGCTCTTTGTTTTGTAGTTGACTTCATTATAAATTGATATCACTGGTTCTCTATTTTTCATCTTGCAAGGTTGTTTCACTTTAACTACTTACGTATCTGGATTGAGTACTGGGTGGTTGTGTCATATAGGGTAATTTGGACTATTGTTGGTTCTCAGGCTAAACAAAACCCTTTAGCACTTTTTTGTAAAGTTGGTCTGGTCATTACAAATTATTTTATTTCTGTTTATCAGGAAACGTTCTAATTTCACCATTGCATTGGTATGACAGCTTTGCTAGGTATATGATTCTTGCTGGCAATTTTTTTCTTTTAGAGTTCTTAATGCCTTCTTGCCTGCATGGTTTCTGCTGACAAATCAAGAGCTTAGTCTTATTGGTTCTCCTTTGTTGGAAAAAAAAAATTTTTTTCAACAGGCAGTACCAGAAAAAAGGAACATAATAACTAAAAAGAGAAAAAAGGGACAGGAAAATGTAACTACACTCGAGAAAATAAAAAGAAATACAAATAACTTAGAAAAACCAAGGAGAAGGAAGATGAAAAGTACAGCGTAGTAAAGATTAAAAGAAGGGGGGGGGGGGAGGAGAGACAAAATAAGAGATAGAAAAAAAGGAAAAACAAAACCAGAGATAGGATAAAGTTCAAGGAAATGAAAAGAGAAGGAGGACAAAGAATAAACAACAAAAATAATGAAACAACAAAAACAAAAAAATAGTGCAGCTATTGGACCCAGAGAGGAGGAAACTCTTTGGGGCTTCTGCAAGCCAGGGAGTTACTGAGGTATGTGTGGGTGGGATGTGACGTCAGAGTTCCTGGCCCTAGATGGAGTTCCTATTGACTTCAGTGTTATCTATGTTCAGGGTACTCAATCTGGAAGTAGCTCATGGAGACTCTTGATGGAGGTGGTTTTAGTGTCTGTTATGACCACAGGGCAGCTAGGGGGCAAGGTGACTCATTAAATGCTGGTCTGGTGGCTCTGCAGGCACTGTAGGTCTTAAGCTGAGTCCACCTGAATCTGGGCACCAAAGTAGTGCAGCTGGCCATCATCTCACACTGGTGTGCCTCCATCCATGTTGCTCCGAACTCCAGGAGAGCAGGGGTGTGCCATTGGTAGATGAGGGTGGGAGCTTACCTTAGGGGTGTGGGGAAAATGAAGGAATTGCACCTTTCCATTGCCCTTGTGACTGCTCTGTCAGGCCACCTTCTGTTTCCTAAGATGCTCACAAAAGTTCAAGATGGTCACAGTGCATCTGGCTAGGTGTTCAACTGTCAAGTCACTCTTTCACCATCCCGGCTCAGTTTCTTCTCCCAGCAAGCACTCAGTCTACTTCTCTAGACTTTCTTCTAAAGTTTAGGGTCCCAGTATTTTTTATCTGTGCCTGTTTATTTGGTCTCTTGAACTTTAGTTGTAGAAGATCCATGTAGTGTGTCTGCCTAGTCTGCCATCATGCCAGAATCCTCAAGTCAATTTAGCATGGTTTGGTTTCTGCCTTTTCCAGTGTCTGGATGTTGGGAGTTTAAAATCATCAACTTTTAAAATTTCTTTAAACATTTAGGTAAAACAAGAACTGTAATAGTTGAAATTTGAGTTGCTTTTTTCTTTTAAGGTTTCCTTTGGATCCTAAAAGAAGAAAAGAATGGGTTCGCCTGGTTAGGCGCAAAAATTTTGTGCCAGGAAAACATACTTTTCTTTGTTCAAAGCACTTTGAAGCCTCCTGTTTTGACCTAACAGGACAGACTCGACGACTTAAAATGGATGCTGTTCCAACCATTTTTGATTTTTGTACCCATATAAAGTCTATGGTAGGTAATAATACTTTCTTTTTATCCTAATTTTACCATTTTGAGGTCCTGTTCTTTTTTTTTTTTTGTCTATAAAATGGAACCATTTAGAACAGATTGAAATCTGTGGTCATGTGTTTTAAGAAAGTTACATAAGTTTCCTCTTGTGAAATAAAAGTGTAGAAATGTTACATTGCCAATTATCAATACTTGAATCATCAGTAAAATAGAGAAATATGAGTAATTAAACCTCCTGCATCACTCTGCTCTGATTTTAAGATGACACACAAATGCCATGCATGTGCTAAGTACCTTAAGAGCAGCACAGAGGTACAAAAGTGTATGTAAATTCTGAGGGAACAGAAAGCTTTAGAATGCTCATACATTTAGCTGGGCTTGAAGTTTTACCGTTGGAACGGTTCTTAGGAAAGGGTTCTTGACCTTTCACAGAACAAATGCAATAGCCTGGTGAGAATAAAAGCCATCAGGTTGAGAGGTTAATGGAAAGTCATCAAAATGATAGATACTGTAAGTCTAAAAGGAGCCCTGGTAGCGTAGTGGTTACAAATAGGGCTGGAAACCTCAAAGTTGGCAGTTTGAAACTACCAGCTGTTCCACAGGAGAAAAATGAGGCTTTCTGCTCCCGTAAAGATTTACAGCCTCGGAAACCCTATACTGGGTTGCTATGAGTCGGAACTCACCAAAAGGGTGAGAAAGTACAAGTTGAATGAATTAAGCATTGTTTTTATCTAGTTTGGGAAATTTTGATGAGAGGAATAAGCTAGCTGAGAAGACGGTATACAAATGGCAAGAAGTGTAGAATGAATAACAGAAATGCAGTTTTCCTTTTAAAAGGAAGACAGACATCATCTCTAGGAGAGGAGAAACAACTGCTTTTCTTGAATTATTTATTATTGTTACAGAAATGTATGTGAGTTCATTTCGGGGGCAGGAAGTTGTGGTGAAATAATTATCACAGGTACTAGAAAAGCTTCAGGAGGGCAAGAACTTTGCCTTGTTCACTTCTGAATCCTTAGCACTTGCTTGATACATAGTAATCTCACATGTTTATTGAATTTGAAGTGTGCCTTGGTTTATATAGTTCAACAAATTCAAGGGGGCTTCAAAAATTCATGAAAAATTGAAAGTAAAAGACAATGGGATTTTTCCATGAACCTTTTAAAGCCTTTTCATACTTTAAACTTTACATTATGTCAGAATTTAAGAAAAAGTCTGTGCTGTAAGGAACTTACAATCTAGTGAGAAGTCATGAAAAAAAATCCCAAGAAAACAACAGTATTTATAGATTGCACAAGAATAGAGACCATATCTCTCTTATTTATTAATTTTTTCATCTCTAGGAATTCATAATACAAGTTTCCACAAATGTTGAATAAATGGAAGACACATAAGGATGTGATTTATTCTGAAACGTATTAATGGGTTAGTTTGCTGGAGTATAAACCAAGATGGCTAATGAAAGAATGGAGTCAGATCCTAATGGGACAGCTAGAGATTTTTTTTTCTTCTTCAGACAATGAAGGGGTGGGGGAGTGCTTTAGCCAGTATAAAAATGTCAAGTCTGTTGGAAAAATTACTCTGGTGGCAGGAGATAGATTGATGATCAAAACTAGAGGTGGAAAGATTAATGAAGTTTTTCTATATTCAGGCCAGAGATGATATGAGCTTGATGTGGCCAATGGCATTAAGAATGATGGAGAGAAGATTCATGATAGAGGTATTTGTTGTTGTTAAGTGCCGTTGATTGAGTTGGTTCTGACTCATAGCTACCCTGTATAGGGTTTCTGAGGAGAAGTTGATAGGTTTGAACTGCTGACCTTGCGATTCAATCCAGTGCTTATCCTACAGCACCACACCAGGATTCCAGAGATATTTAGGAAGTAGAATTAACAGGACTTCATGATAATTGAATGAAAAAGAGAAGGAAAAGAGGAGTCTCAAGGTTTCTAATTTGCAAAACACTTCCTAGCAAGACTTGAAATTGAATGTAATTGTGAACAGTTAATAGGTTAATCTCTTTAGAAGTTTGACACTTCAGAATATGTTTCTGTGGATCCTTCAGTTACAGAGTAGGACCCTAAGTCTAAATATTAATCACCTGAAAAAGAGATCCTCAACTCAGTATCATATATGTAAACAAATGTTTAAATACTTAACTGATCTTAGTAAGCAAATTGCAAAGGATTTCAAAAGTCTCCATAGATTCATAGATATTTTCAAAGTCCATTTTCTATTTCTAAACCAATATTTGAATGTCCTGGAGAGAGAACAAACAGAAATAGGTGACTGGAATTTATTCAGCTAGTTGAGAAACTTAATCCATGATTACATAAGATGGGCTGTTGATATTTCCAATCGATATTTTTAAATTGATTATTAAAAGAACAGTTTAAATATTGTTACCCAAAATTTGATGAAATTTACTGACTTGTGATACTCTTATATTTAATCCTCTAATTTTATTTGATTCAGAAACTCAAGTCAAGGAATCTTTTGGAAAAAAGCAACAGTTGTACTCCAGCAGGACCATCTAAATCAAACATTAGTAGTCAGCAAGTACTACTTGAACACAGTTATGCCTTTAGGAACCCTATGGAGGCAAAAAAGAGGATAATTAAACTGGAAAAGGAAATAGCAAGCTTAAAAAGAAAAATGAAAACTTGCCTACAAAAAGAACGCAGAGCAACTAGAAGATGGATCAAAGCCACATGCTTGGTGAAGACTTTAGAAGCAAGTAACACATTACCTACGGGCACATCAGAACACATTTTACCAACTGCCTTAAGCAATCTTCCTTTGGAAAAGTTCAAGATTCTTGAACAAGATCAACAAGATAAAACATTATCAATTCTATAAACCTAAAACAGACCAAGGGTACCTTCCTTTAAGATTAGCTTGCACAGAACTCCATAACCACCCTTCATTCCATTCAGAGGTAAAGATATTTAAGGCAATTATCCCAAAATTGGGTATTTAATAAAATTTTACTTGAAGTACTATTATTACTGTATAGTTTATGAAGACTTAATTACAGAAGGAAAAAAAGGACAACTTTATATGAAACTTTATTTCAAATGAATGGAAGTGCCTTATATGAGAATTACTTATTTTTAAAATTTGCTACAAAATTGTATGTTTGCAAGGTGTTTTGTGTTTTGGTCTTTTTTAAACTACTTTTTAAAATAAAAAGTTTATAGTAGAGAATTTTTTTTTCCTGTACCAAAGTTCGTATATCATATTCTAGATAAGATGCAAAATAGGTGTTAACCAACATTAAATATGACCTTAGAAAACTATGGACTTTTGTATTAATTAAATTATTGGCACTGTGAGTTGGAGAACTTACAGAGAAAAAAAACTTGAAGAGAGGACAAGTTCTTTCATTTAAATTTTTGTGTCCTTTTACTAGTAAAGTGAGCTAATCATGACCTCCCTTATAAGAATAAGCTTTTAAGTTAGATTGTAAAATATTATCTTTGAATGTGAAGTACCTTCACGTCATACTAGCTAGGTATGGCCTCAAATACCTAAGATTAGTACAAACTTATAGCTGACTACATTCACCTTCTAAAAAACTTAATTGTGGATTCATGCAAATTTCAGGATCTAGCTTAATAGACCAATTTATCTACTTTTTTTCTCATTATAAAAGTATTATATTTCCAATTTCAAAATTGGTACACAAATAAGCAAATGTGCTACAAAGTTCCATGTTAGGCATGTCCCTTTTGTCCCCATGTGTGTTGATACCAAAACTCCTAAGCTTTTTTTCCCTTTAAACTACTTTCTAAAGCATTCTATACCTCAGAAATGGCATATCAATATGGTAAAGTTTTTTTTTCCTTTCATAAACCCACAGAATTTAATCACAAAACTAATTACCACTTTATGATTTAATAATTTATAACTTAAAAGTAAAATCAGCTTATCTTTTGCTTCAGCTTGCTTTTTATATCTTGTTTTTTGGTGAGTGTCACATATAGAAACATGATTGTGCATAAGAGAAGTGATACGTAGTTCTCTGCAGAAGTATGTCTTTGTCTATTACAAAGCTATGCAAAGGCTAACTTGTTTTTTACACAAGAGAAGAATATAACTATTCTTATAGTTGCAACTTGAACAATTAAAGGGTTTGTCTTATTTCACCAAATGTTTAATTAGAACACTTTCGTTCAAACTGCTATGGTCAAATCATGTAAAAATGTACTACTATATAATCAAATCATTTAATTCTAACCCAAGTTTCTAACACTACTATATGAAAATAACATATACCCAAACATAAATTATTGTAAATCTTTCCTATACAATAATAGCTACATGAAAAAAAAAAAAAAAAAACTTTTTGCCAATTGTTTGCTTTTTACCTACTTTTTAAAATGACATTTGCTTGGATTCCCATAACAGTCATTTTGTAGTATTAGCACCCTTTCCTTTAATAAGGAATGCCTCTCAGGCAACTAGATTCATAAATGCAAAGGTAGGAAAAGTTGGTTTTAGTTCTTATGAGGCACTTATGATAAGTATTTATGAAAATCCTTTTTGAGTATGTTGCAAGTCTGGTTAGTATTTTTATCTAAAGAGTTAGATAGTGTCTTGGAATAGTCATTACATTTTTTATTCTAATATGATTTCAGATATCTTTACATGAATATATAATCATTAGTAAACACCATATCTATACCTTGAAATAAGTTGGGCAGATAGTCATTTGAACATAAACTATGGCTTTTAAATATAAACTCTCATGTGGTTCACCCCCTCAAACAGAAAGCAAGACAATGTAGGTTGGTTCTCATTTATAATAATATCTTAATATAATATTTTAAAAATAAGATTTGAATTTGAAAAAGTTAGTCTTCGTTAATTATTTGAAAACTTTGCTTATTCTTTATTCATTATTTAACATCATTGACAAAATTACCAAACAGTAAATTGGACTCCTGATGTGATTCTGTAGGATCATCACTGGACTGCAGACCACTAAGTAACAGTTCAAACCCACCAGCTGCTCCTTGGCAACCCTATACTAGGTCGCTATGAGTTGGAACCGACTCAATGGCACTTAACAGCAATTTAAAAGTAGATTTTTTTTTTCCTCTATCACATTTTCATGTTACTGTCCTGATAATCTACATATTGCCTTTTATCAAGTTGTTTTATTAACATGTCTACCTTAAAAACTAGTTTAAGTAATAGTGATAACTTAAAAGGAATCTTTTTAAATCCTGTTTTCAGTTTGTTGATAGATTACTTAATACTTTGATCTATGCCATAAAACTAATCAAAATTATAATAGTCCTCTGTGGGACACATCAAATATCCTTCATTTACTCTATTAAACACTAGATACTAAAGGAACTAACTTCTACAAGGAACTAGCCAAAGGCTAGGAATTTGATATAAAGATGAATTTAATGCAATTTTCTACCATCAAGTTACTCTAAGTCTCCTGAGAGAAATATTATTTGTAATACAATATGTTGTTGTTGTTGTTAAGTGCCATAGAGTCGATTCCAACCCATAGCAACCCTGAATAGGGTTTCCTAGGAGTAGCTGGTGAGCTTTGAACCGCTGACCTTGCAGTTCAAACAGCTTTGCAGTCTGGCGCATTAACCCACAGCGCCACACCAATACAATATGATAAATGCTATAATAGATGTGAAAGGGGCTTTGGTAAATGCTGTTGAATTGCAATTTAATGAGAATTAAATTTCAGACTATTTGTATAATCCAATATATTTGAAACAAACAAATTTCTTCTTGCAATGACTTAACCAAAGGAAGTGAAGGTAATTTAGTCCTTCAGTTAAGAAAGCACTTTGACATCTACTCATTCTCTTATTCTTTACAGATTATTCTGTATGGTTGATGGCATTATCTCTGATTTACTAATGAAGAAATCTTTGTTAATGTATTTATTCATCTCAATGTTTTCTATGTGTCAGCTGGCACATGGGATAAAAATGCCAGTAATCTAGAAAGTTCTAGATTTTTTTTTTATCCAAGTGCCATTTTCTACATACAGACTTGTATTTAACATGAATCATGTTGTTGAAATAGGAAAACTGTGTCTCAAAAAACCTAGAAAATACATAGATATGTATATGGAGTTCTGGTGTGGCCCTGTATGGCTGGGGCACTGGACCAGCCGCTCCTCCGAAACCCTATACAGAGTTGCTGTGAGTCAGAACTGACTCTACGGCTCTTAACAACAACTACATAGATAGTCTGTGAGGTAATTTTTTAAATCTTTTCTAGGTATACTTTTTAATGTTTGTGCTTTATTTCATTTGTCAATGTTAGAATACGGGTAAATTTTAATTTTGGTAAAATATATACAATGGTTCATCTTTATGCCAGAACATAGGATTTTTTTGATACTTAGTTATAAACTTTTGTAATATATTAAACAACTGTGTATAAAGCTGACAAAAACTTAACTTCTGAGTATGCTGATATTAAAAAAAAACTTTTCCAAGGATATTATTAGTGCCTTTTATTTCCAAAAATGTATGTAAACATTTATGGGAAATCTTTCCTCTAAATTAATCCCCTAAAAAAATCCTTTCCCTAAAGTAAAGCAAACTGTAAACCAAAAATAAAGACATAGAAAACTTTGAAATTAATCATTTTCATTTTTGTTGCTGAAATTGTGATCCAAACATGCATTAAAGTTTATTTTCATTGTTTTACATACTAGTTATATATTCTAGACCAGATAAATTAAAGGCTACAAAGATTCTCATTCTAGAAATCAATCTTGACAATTTGAGGTTCAAAGATATATTGCAGGTATGATTATCAAGGCATTTTTAATAACAAAAAATTATATTTGTAGAGGTTTGCCTTAATTATAGTATATCCACATGTAGTCCTATTTCACATATGCATATGTGGTCTTTATGTAGCCGTACTTCACGGAGTCGTGGTGTGGCCCTGCAGGATAATGCACTGGACCACCAGGTCAGATTGAACCTTAAAGTTGGTTCTAATCCACCAGCCACTCCTTGGGAACCCTATAGAGGGTCACTATGAGTTGGAACTGACTAAATGGCACTTAACAACTGTCCTACTTCACAGAAAAGTTCTTTGTCAAAGGAAAAGGCTTGGCACGCATTTTGAAATTTAAAATAACAGTAATTTTTCAAAAGCAATGACTTCAGGCTTTTGATAGCTTGCACGCAGCGGGGATCAACTGTGTGCGTTTTTTAAGTATTATCGGGTCCATACTACGAAGAGTGAATTTACAAATGTTGAGCCGGGGAAATGAGTGGGCTCTGCCGCGTGGTGGTGGTGACTAGAGAACCGTGGACATGTCCTTTACCTCTTACACCTGCCTCACCTCACTCCAGAAGAGGGGCTGCGGTAGCCCAGCATTATGGAATGTAGAGAGAATGGCGGGGAAGTTGCTGTAGGTGCTGTTAAACCCCACGGTGGGCAGGAGTTTAAGGACACGGAGGTGTTACTTGATTTCATGACACTATTTTAAGTGCTAAAATTCAGGACCTTGTTTTTCTTTATAGAGATAGGAAGGAGCGAACTTCAAATTATTTTTGTCGTTTTCCTGCCACTCCACTCCCCTCCCTTCCCCTCCCTGCCCCCCATCTCTCTCCAGGCTTCCATTTTCCTTCTTTCACTTGTTTTGTTCAGGATCTTGGCAACTGAACAAAGCCCACTCTGCTGTGGACTTGTGCAGGAGCGGTTTTTAAAGGAAGCACCAAATTATGTCATCTGAAATGTTGCCAGCTTTTATTGAGACTTCTAATGGTGAAAGGAAGCAAAACTTAAATGAGTCAGAAGCTAAGGCCCAGTGAAAGGTTCGAACCCATATCTAAACTACAGATGAAGAAGCTAATAAAACAAAAACAATGGGAAGAATGAGAGTTCGCAAACAAGCAAAAAGAAAAACGCAAGAGAAAGAAGAGCAACAGTGTCAACTGGAATCAAACTCTAATGGAAACGACAGAAAACGTATTAGAAGAGATGTTGTTCATAGCATACTCCGCCTGATTATGGACTGTAGTTTTGACAACTTGATGGTATTAAAGGACGTTAAGAAACTTCAAAAGCAGATTCAGCGATGTTATGCAGAAAACCGAGGAGCCTTGCATCCTGTGCAGTTTTACTTGACCAGCCAGGGAGGCCAGCTGAAAAAAAAAAACACGGATGAAAATGACAAAGGATGGGTGAATTGGAAAGGGTATCCACATCAAGCCAGAGTACTTTAGTGAACTCATAAAGAAAGAAGACCTGATTTATCGTACATCAGAGTCTCCCAATGTACTAAAGAAATTAGATGACTCAAAGGTTTATGTGATTGGAGGATTAGTAGATCACAATCATAACAAGGGACTCACATATAAACAAGCATCAGATTATGGAATTGAACATGCACAGCTCCCCCTTGGAAATTTTGTGAAGATGAATAGTCCAAAAGTTCTGGCAGTTAATCATGTGTCTGAGATTATTCTGGAATACCTGGAAACAAGAGACTGGCAAGAGGCATTTTTTTTACTATTTTACACCAGCGTAAAGCAGCTATTCCCACAGAAAAAGCCTGTGAAAGTTCTTTGCATGACAGGAAATCTGCCAGTTTTGAAGGTGGATTGGACAGTGATTGCAGTGACGAGGATCATAGCAGAAATGAACTAGATTCAGCCCATGAAGAAGAAAAGCAAGATAAAGAAAATAGCACAGACTCTACAGTGAACTCTGTACCACATTAATGTTATGTGGTTTTCTTTTAGTTTCAGGGGGGAAAAGGAAAAACTAGGAAGAAAATTTTATTTTTTCTTATTTCTGTATTGTTTCTCAAGCTGATAAAAGGCCCTTTAAACTGTTAACAAAGTACTCTGTTTTTGCATAGGTTGACTTACATGTGTACATTTGTTTCTAAAAATTGTTTTCTAAACCTAAGAGTTTAGAAAGATAAAAGAGTTTTTAGGGAATTTTACTTTATTAGTAGTATGTCTTCATTCCCTCTCTTTTATTGGATTGACTCTTTAGAATGTGCCTTCTGTCCTTTCAGTTTAATTATTTTATGCTCATATCAGTATCTTTCTGATCTATTACATACTTTTCTGTTGGAGCAGGTATTCATCAATCTCATATGACTAACATAATGGTCTGTTTTGAGGATTACCTACTTACTACTACTTTGTAGATTTTATGTTCAATTTAGTTACTTCAAAGAAAATAGTGATTTCAGAAAGTATCAAGTTCACAGACAGATTCAGCAGTTCATATCTTTGGACTGTGGTCCCCATATCTGTTCATCCTCTGCCATACATTTTTACAGTTCTGAAACAGTCACTAAAGAGACAAGAATCTTTTTAATATGTTTTCTTAAGTCCTATGTTATTAAGTTCCATCGAGTTAGTTCCAACTCACAGTGACCCTGCATAGGGTTTCTGAAGAGCGGCTGATGGTTTTGCACTGCCAACCTTGCAGCACCACACCAGGACTTCTGATTCCTATATTGTTGTTGTTATGTGCCGTGGAGTCGGTTCCAACTCATAGCGACCCTGTACAGGGTTTCCGAGGCTGTACATCTTTACGGGAGCAGAATATTGGTAAATTATTTCAGTGATAAAAATAAAATTTTTGACAGGTCTGCGAAAGGAGGCAATAACATGTACTTTAAAACATGAATCAACCATCTGAGATCAAAGGGCAGCATTTATTTATATACAAGAACAGAGTTCAGAAGGGCTAGCACAGGAAAAGGAGACACTGGGGTAAGTGCTGTTACATTGTGGAAATTGCAATGAATGGCATGAAACAGTGTTTATGGATTGTTAAATAGAAAACTGATATGCTTTGTAAACCACTCAATTCACAATGACAAGTTAAATAAAAATAAAATGAAAAAAAAAAAAGCAATGACTTAATGGGTTAAAACAGATTTGGATATTATGTCTGAAACTGAATTTTTCCCTCTTTATTCGCTGTTAGCAGTTACTGAAAAAGCTCAGGAACCCAGGCAATCAAAAATTAATTATAATTGAAGTGTGATATCAACTATATAAGATTCAATTTTATTGCTAACAAGAAAGTTCTACTTTCTAAATGAATTGGGTGAAGGCACATTATTTAAATATGAGTCGTGTGAGGGCAGATGTTTTCACAATGTAAATGGTGTGACAATAATTATTTGAAATACTAATAGCAACAACTGTCTAGTTTCTGTAAATCTCCAACAGTCAGCATGGTGTGGCACTGTGAGTTTAGGCGCTGGACTGTAAACTCCAGTGATTCAAGCTCACCAGCCGCTCATTGGAAACTCAATACATGGTCGTTATAGGTCGGAACCGACCAAACAGCATATAACAATATCAAACGGTTAAGTTTTAATATTTCCAAATTTTAAATTTGAGCTTCTACAACACAATACGCCCTCCCCATCAAATGCATATGATATAGTATGAACTCTTCACAGCTTAAGAAGCATTGGAGTATCATTCTTGACAACAGATTTACCGAGTTTAAGATCACTTTTGTTTATTATTACCCTAGTGGTAATTTCATTTCTCAGCGTTTGAGTATGACTCGAAACGCAAGGATCTAAGCCTTCAGTTATACAGGAAAAGCAAGGCCGGTTGTTCAAGCCCACCAGCCGCGCCTCAGAAACCCTACAATTCGCTATGATGATCCTTAACAACACACTATGAGACTGGTAGCATAGTGGTTACGAGTCGGGCTGCGAATAGCAGGGTCAGCAGTTCGAAACAACCAGCCGTTCCGGGGGAGAAAGATGAGGCTTTCTGCTCCCGTAAAGATTTACAGCCTCGGAAACCCTGTGCAGAGTCGCTATGAGTCGGAACAGACTCCACGGTACTGAACAACAATGAGAGACTAGAAAACCGCCTAGCCCGAGATCTCCCCACCCTAGCGGAGCCGCCCTTTAAGCGCTCACGAGAACTAGATAACGAGTTCTGGCTGCGGAGTAGGCGGGTCCTGCGCATGCGCATAGGCAGGCCTGCGAGGTGCTGGAGACGGAGGTGAGGTGTGTGATCGTTCAGCCTCTAACTCGCTGGACCTGGACTCTGGGGCGGCGCGGGCGACCCTCGGGATAAAGCCGCGCCTTGGAAATCTGGTGTCGTCATGAAAACTCTCCGGGGTTCGGGATCTGTACCTTGCGTTTTTGCGGCCTCCGACTCGCCCCTGCCCGAGTGGGAGGGCTCCTGGTGGTGAACCGCCGCCCTAATGCTCACGGGCGATTGGGGCGGAGCTGGTCACCATCCTCCACCCTCGAGCCAGCGGATTGGCTCTCTCCACGTCCTTTTTATCTCCGGTCCTTGGAATTCAAGTGTGAAGTTACCTGTAACTCAGTTGATTTTTGTGCTGCACTGCAAGGTGGGGAGTTCAAACTCGCCAGCCGCTCTTCGGAAACCCTATGCAGAGTCGCTATGAGTCGTGACTGACTGGATGACACTTAACACCATTCCTTGATGCACTTCGCTTTTCGAGTAAGGCCTTAATCTAGCCCGTAGGAATTTGAGCTCTCCACCAGCAAGTTTTCAGAAATAGTTTCGTTACATATGTGTATGTTGTTGTTAAGAGCCATGGGAGGGGTTCTGACTCATAGCTGCCCTGTATAACGTTTTTGAGGCTGTACATCTTTGAGGGAGCAGAATGCCTTATCTTTTTCCCAGAGCAACTGGTGGGCTTGAACTACCAACCTTGTAGTTTGCAGTGCTTATCTTACAGAGCCACTGCTCTCATATATATACATATATATGTTTTGTTTTTGTGGATGAAAGATGTTGACATTTGTGTTTACCTCTATACCAGTGTTCTGCTAGCCATTTAAATGACTTTTTTTTTCTCAGATAGGCTGTGTATGTTCTCTCCCAAGTGATCATATCCTTATTTTCCACGACAGATCTTGACGACAGTATATGCAAAGGATATATAAAGATGATAACCAATATAGTAATATTGAGCCTGATCGTTTCTATTTCATTAGTATTTTGGATTATGTCTATGACTGCAAGTACCTATTATGGTAAGTATGAATGTTTTAATTTTTTGCTTTAGTCTAATCAATGAGATTTAAGACAGTATCATAGTGAAATCTAAAACTCATATCTTCTGAAAGGGAGTTATGAACTGTTGTTTTTTTTGTAACTTCCACAGTTTGAATTTGCCATCAGGAAACTAGACCATGCCTTACAGATTTTAAAGACTTTTTAATAACTACTTCAGAATATGCCTTTATATCTTATGCAGTTATTGCATCTGTCATGGTATAAAGTGAAATGTAGCTTTGTAAAGTGATGACTGTGATTTTTTTTGAGTAAGATTGTTAGCAATGTAATTTACCAGTTTGTGTCCTGTAAAAATAAAGATAGAATAAGGTTGACATTTGAAGATTGGAAGATTTTTCTGTCATCTGGTCATTTCAAAAGAACAGGCTCCTTTTAAAACCTGAAATTGCTTGACAGATATAAAGTACTCTGGGCTCAATTCTGTAAGGTTTTGAAGCTGCTTTAGAATAGAAACATGCCTTTACACAGATTTCCTTGGCACCCCTGTAAAATAGAATATTGGTCAGTTCACAAAAAGTGAAAAGGAGGAATAGAAAAGTGAACTCTTGTAAAGGTTGTGTTGTGATGGCCGTTTCAAATTGTAGAACATTTGTAAAGAGACATGTAAATAATCAGAGGGTGTCCTCTGGGATATATAAGCTCTCATTATGATTCCTTCATAATAATTCAAGGAGAAGATTCTTACTAAATAGAATGAATCAGGATTTATAAACGCATTGTCTTCCTTGGGCCAGGCACATAATACAAATGAATGAAGCTGTCTTAAGTCTGCATGTGAAACACACAAGAATAATTTTCATTCCAGAAATAAAATTTCCCCATATTAGTTGAATACCTGGCTCTTGGCCTATCATTTTCCCATTTTTGAAAAATACATATGCATAAGCAATAGTTCAGTAGTTTTCTTTACTGTGAAGAAACCATTTAGCCTGTTTTTGGGCCTTTGCAGGGAGTGGTAGGAACTTGGAATGGGAAAGCCATAGCCTGTCTAAAGGAGATTGCCTCTCTTTACCTTCAGTCAATTCTGCCATGTGGGCGAGTACTTCCCATTTTTTAAAGAGGCCAAGAATTTCGATTTTTTATGAAATCTACACTTTAAATATTGACTCACTGTTTGAAAATACTGTGCTAGCTAAACAAAACATCTGTCAGATTGATGCAACCTTTGGGAAAACTCAATTGCGAATCATTAAATCAGTTGTGCAGCTCATAGAATTTTTTTTAATTTCCTTGAAAGGCAGATAGAGGAAAAATTAGATCTTGTTAAGAAAGGAATCTGTGCAGTGTAGTTTTTTAAATTTAATGTTTGCCTTTAAAAACAATGGAACTAGAATTCATTTCAAATCCCTATACATGTATGAAGTAACCACTTTATGTTGTTGTTGTTAAGTGCCGTCAAGTCGGTTCTGACCCATAGCGACCCTGTACAGGGTTTCCAAGGGTGTAAATCCTTACAGGAGTAGAAAGCCTCATCTTTTCCCACGGAGCGGCTGGTAGTTTCGAACCGCTGACCTTAAGGTTCGCAGCCCGATTCGTAACCACTGCGTTACCAGAGGTAGCTATAATTGGTTTCCAAAACTTGGGCAGACCCCATATGAACATTCCCTAGTAAAATGGGCCCTTTGAAAATGTATAGGTCTCAATGTAAACATTTTACTTGGGTGACTTTTTCTGAGTTTTTAAGTATGTTATGACAGGATTTTGATCCAGAGTGCAGTTATCAAAGCTTAATTCTAATTCTAACCTGTGTAAGCTTCATATAATTTGTACTATTCCTTTAAAATTTTTCAGGTAACTTGCGGCCTATTTCTCCTTGGCGTTGGCTATTTTCTGTTGTTGTTCCTGTTTTGATTGTCTCTAATGGTTTTAAAAAGAAAAGTTTAGATCACAGTGGAGCTTTAGGAGGTATGTTTTTATTTTGAATGTTTAAACTAGCCCTATGATAAAATGTCTACTTACTTAGGTTTGCAAAATTCTAAGTACTTTATAGAAAACTATAAACAATAATGTTCCGTATGAAACAACGTTAGGCATTACTGTTTTGTAACAATTATAGAAATGATCATGCATTTTAGTGCATACGTACACATTTAACTTGGTAATTGACTTTTTCCCCCCAACTTTTTATTGTGAATTGAGTGAAGGCTTACAGAGCAGATCGTTTTACATTCAACAGATTATATATTTTGCTTCATTACATGCTTGCAATCTCCTCCATATACCAACAGTTGTTTACCTCTACTCACTTTATCTATGTAATTGACTTTTGAGGATCTTGCCCATATTTGCTCCTTTAGTTGGATTAATTGTTCTCTAGTTAACAAACGTATTGGAGCATAATAAGTGTAAAGTAGGGGAGCAGATGGAAAAAATTGCTTTTGTACATTGCTATTAGTAACTTCAGGCTGGACACTTACTAATCGCATAAAGAATAAAGATATTCTTTTAGCAAATTTTTTTTTTTTTTTAAACAAATACTTATTGCGCTTTTACATGTACCACTGTTCTAGGAACTGGAAGTATAGTTGTTTACAAACAGAACAAGGCTTCAGTTCACATATTGTTGTTATTATAGATAACAAACTATAAAACACTTTTCAGGTAGTGATGGGGTTTATGAGAAAAATTAAAGAAAATGTGTGGTTAAGGGTGAGGGACATTCTTTCATATAGGATCAGGGACAGGGAAAAATCTTCACTCTGTGGACTCCTAGTATGGCACTGTAGGATCAGCATAGGTGCAAACCATAAGGTCAGTCGTTCAAACCCACCAAGCTGCTTCTCGGAAACCCTGTACAGGGTCACTATGAATTGGAGCTGAATTGACAACACTTAACAATAACAACAAGGTGGTTTGCTGTTGTTAAGTGCCATCAAGTTGGTTCCAAGTCTTAGTAACTGAGGAGCAGCTTGAAATGCTGACCTTGTGGTTAGCAGTCTAGTGCTTATCCTGTAGCACCACACCAGGATTCCCTAAGGAGATTTTATATATATGTATACGTTTGATGTCGTCAAGTCAGTTCCAACTCAAAGTGACATTATGCACAACATAACAAAACACTGCCCAGTCTATGCCAACCTCACAATCATTGCTACACTTGGGCTCATTGCTGCTTCCACTGTACCAGTCTATCTCATTGGGGGTCTTCCTCTTTTTCAATAACCCTTCTCCACTTTGCCAAGCATAAAGTCCTTCTCCAGCAATAGGGTAATATGTCTAAAGTATGACAGATAAAGTCTCACCATTCTGGCTCCCAAGAAACATTCGGGCTATATTTCTTCCATCACAGATTTGATTGTTCTTCTAGCACTCTATGATACTTTTAGTATTCTTCTTCAATACCATAAATGCATCGATTCTTCTATACCCTTCCTTATTCATTATTCAACTGTCACATGCATGTGAGGCTACTGGAAATATCACAGTTTGCGTCAGGCTTATCTTTGTCCTCAAGCTTACATCTTTGCTCTTGAACACTTTATTGTAGTTATTAAGTGCCATTGAGTTGGTTCTGACTCAAAGTGACCCTGTATGGGTTTTCCAAGGAGTGGCTGAGGGTTTTGAACTGCCAGCCTTACAGTTCAAACTAACTTTGAAGTCCAGTGTTTATCCTACAGCATCACACCAGGACTCTTGGCATATATAACCTTGTTAATTGAGCCTAAGAATAAGGCCCATTTGATTGGCAATACAATAAAAACCTGTGAGAAATTGAATTTGACAGGACTACTGGAAAAAGGGACTGCCTTTTTTCCTGGACTGTACCATTACATGCTTGGCAGGTTTGTATACAAGAGGCATGAGATCCACATATTGTGTTGCATTTGTTGTGTTCCATTTTTAGATCAGGATTTATAATCTTAAGGGATCACAGATGTATATGCAGTCAGATGTTGAATGGGCATTATGTGATGCATGACTGTACTGATGTTGTTAATTGCCACTGAGTCCATTCTTACTCCTAGTCCCTGTATAGAGTTTCCAAGGGGCGGCTGGTGGTTTTAAACTGCCAAACTTTGTGGTTAGCAGTCCAGTGCTGATCCTACAGGACTCCATGGAAAAATATTTTCATTATCTTCTGATTCCACATTTTCACAAACTCTTTAAAGTGCCACCTTCCCCCATTTTAATTTTAAAGTAGCTCTCAGAAGGCACTTTTTTTTTTTTAAGTTTTTAATTGTGAATTATATGATAATTTACATGGGAGAACATTATCTTTATATTCATCCTATCGTATTTCATTTCATTGCAATGATTACAGTCACCTGCATGCATCATCAAACAACCAAAGGGTACACCCTGCACACCCGCCCCCCGGCCGCCAGCACTCAGTCCCTCTCCCTCCCTGAGTCTAGAGTCCCCAGCCACTCCATCTCTCCATGTCATCGTCTCTGCCTCCATCCCTGGCATCACTGCTTCTCTGGATAGGGTCCCGTACTTTGCTTTTCTCCGTTGATAGTTCCAGGGACCTCCACTCCTGGATTGCAAATTAACCACTCCCCTCCTTTTGTTACAAAACATCTACCTTTACCTTTCCAACACTCACAAATCAGTCCTGATAGCAACCATTTCCTATTGAACCTCCATCACCTTTTATCAGCCCCATCCAGACAGGTTAGAAACCACTCAGTGGAGATTCTACCTTTCCCCATACCTTCTGGAACTAGTTTCCCTATTGAAAGCTTGTAAGCCAGTCTTGCCTTTGTAGCCCCTCCCATTTTGGGTAGCCAATGTCTAAGTTACCCATCTCTCAGAAGGCACTTTTTATTTTAAAATTGTGGATGACCCTTCACTGGAAGCAGTTGGAACCACTGACATGCTCACTAAAATGACTTCTGTGATTCAGCTTGGTAACCCTTAAAATTTAAATTCATTTAAAATTTAAGCTCATCCTGAAAACTAAGCTCAGAAGTGACCACCTCTAGACCTTGGAAGAAACCCGTGGTGATCTGCTTCTCTGTGGAGTGCAGTTCTACTCTGCACATATAGGGTCGCCATGGATCAGAATCAAACCAGAGTAGAATTGCTCCCTGAGGTTTCTGAGACTAATCTTTGCTTCATCTTTATCCTAGTAGAGCAGCTGCTGGTTTCAAACTGCTAACCCTTCAGTTAGCAGCCTCACCCTTAACCCACTACACCACTAGTGCTTCTTCCAATTCTTATGGGTAGGAATAAATCATTTCTTCTGGCATATGTTCCCATAGTTCTTAGGAATTATGCAGTCATATAATTTCTTGTGTTAATAGTCTACACAGCTCCTCATCTATATCTTAAGCTTCTTGAAGGCAGATAGTATTTTGTTTCATGTCTCCATTCCACACAGTACCTAAAACAACACTGTGGGTAGTAGGTTCAGTGAAGAAATTAGTCAGATGACTGAGCTCAAGAGGCAGGCCTGCAGAATGTGTCCTTTGATCATTTAAATTATTATATATTCCTGAGTGTTTTTGTGTACACCACCACCACCACCCAAAAAACCAGAGGGAATGGAAGCAAATAATGTTGAATGATGATGCACAGAGGAGTTTGTAATCATTACAGTGAAACAATGGTGTAAAGCCAATGTTCCGCCATGTAAAATATCACTCAGTTCACAATAAAAACTTTTTTAAAAAGAGACAGTATTGCATATTAATTATTTCATAAAGAAGAGAAAATGTACAGTGAATTCCCAGTACCCATCACCTAACTTAAACAAGTATCAATCTTATCAATTTTGTTTCCTCTATTCCTATCCATTCTTTCCTCTTTCCCAGCCCCCACACTGTTTTTTTACAATTGGAAAATGAAAGCCTGAAAGAAAAGACTTGGATTCCTTAAGACTAAAAGACTAAGGCTATCAATGACAAAAAATTGTTGTATTGCTTTATGATGTCTTTTTATAGTGGCATGGTGTGGCGCTGTGGTTAATGCACAGAATAGCAAAGTCGCTTTGAGCTGTAAGGTTGGTGGTTCAAGCTCACCAGTTTGTCCTTGGAAACCCTGTACTGGGTCTCTATGAGTCGGAACTGACTCGATGACACTTCACAACACAACAGTAAAGAACAATGAACTTCTGGTATGGTGCTATAGGATCAGCACTGGATTGTGAACCATAAGGTTGGCAGTTCAAACCCACCAGCTGCTCCTCAGAAACCCTGTACATAGTTACTGTGAATTGGAACCAACTTGACAGCATTTATCAACAACAACAACAGTGAAGAGCACTAGGAAACCACGGTGGCTAACATCAGGCCCTGAGCAGCCTGCCTGCTGAAGGAGTCTGTCCCTGCTTCACCTCCCTTAGTATTAAGACACATGGTACCTGGGTAGGATATATGCCCGCATGTGCTAAACCCTTAACCTACCTACCTGCAAGCTTTTCAGACTTTGCTGCATGAAGTTTCCCTAGGGGCGAAATATTCTTTTTTCTCTGTTTGGTTTTAAGTCTGCTGCTGCTATATTATTGTTGTTAAGTGCCATGGAGTGGATTCCAACCCATAGTGACCCTGTAATCCCGTTGACCTTGCAATTCAAATGGCTTTGCAATCTGCAGCATTAACCCACAGTGTCACACCAAGACTCCTATAGGAAGGCTATTTTTATTTTAATCTCCTTGTCCTCTTCTGAATAACTGAGTGCCCACTATGTGCAAGACCTGGGATAAAAAAGCAAGAAGAGGCATTCATTAAATGCCTAGTCTCTGACTTAAGTACGTCCTCTTACAAAGTGTCATGTGTTCTGGTACCATTAAGTTCTCGATAGTTCAGGTATTTAGGAACACTGTATTGGAAAGTTTCATTTAAAGATACACAGCAGCATAGTATAGACTCTGGAGCCACACTACCTATTTTTGAATCTGAGCTCTCCTACTTACTAGTTATGTGACCATGGGCAAGTTACTTCATTTTTGTTGCCTGTGTAAT